ATATATATGTATATATAAGCTAAACGTTTCGTCTTAAAGCACTGATTAAACGAGGGAGCTCGTTTTAACGTGTCCCTCCCTCTGAACACGCGTTTACCAACCATCCTAACCAAAATCACAGGACTAACTAGAAACACCGCCGGCTTTTTGCCTCGTCGCTCAGTTGGGATCGATGAACGCGAGGTGTACATCCTCCATGGGGACGAACGAAAATACAGGAGAGACCAGGAACGATAACAGGGAGAAGAAACGATGATCACGGGAACCCGAGAGGGATCGAGCGCCCTGTGAAAGATAAACGAAGGAGGCGCACGATAGTTTCTCAGCCGTTTAAACAAGACGAACAGCAGGAGGAGGCTGAACGACGACTTAACCTGGTGGTGTGTCGAGAGAAGGACACGACGACAGATGATAACCAGGTGATGAAACACAAGTAGTAGTAGTAGTAGTAGTAGTAGTAGTAGTAGTAGTAGTAGTAGTAGTAGCGGGGATAAATAAAGAAAGAAATGCGAGAAATAACGAGCGAATGAGAATGAGGCACCACTAGTAGTAGAACTGCTCGTGTCCGTGTTTCCATTTCTCTCGTCCAATCCTACTGTTGTTGTCCCCCGGTATATCGTACGGGCAACCATAACGACGACGACCATAACCACGACGTCGATACTCTTCCTCTCCAAAGAATCCTCAATGGTGATAGACGACGAGAGAACGGCGTTGATCGTGTCCAGTCGACGCCAGGACGAGGTTAAACGGAAACGTGAACGCAGGAGAAGGTGTATGATTAATCGGCGGTTCTTCCTCCGGCGGCGGCGGTGAACGTGGCGGTTGTTGCACGACGATCTAAGGCGAACTCAATGATGCGGCGGTGGCGGCGGCGGGGCCTCTTCCTCGGAGGGATCCACGGGGCTCGGGGACAGGAACTTGCGCACATACTTCGGATAATGTGTCTTTTCATGGGCCTTCAGTATCGTCGACCTCGAGAAGGTCTTGCCGCACAATGTACACCGGAACGGACGTTCCCCGGTGTGCACCCGACAATGGTCCTTCATGTGGTGGCGTAACTTGAAGGCCTTACCACAGAACTCGCACTTGAAGGGCCTGTCGCCTGTATGGGCCGGTAGGTGGGCTATCAGAGAGCCGACGTCCGGGAACGACTTGCCGCAGAACTTGCAGAGAACGACGCCGGAGGTCGGGTCCGAGTGGGCCGCGAGCTCGAGGTCCATCGGCTCGATCGTACCTGCGGTGGGGTAGTGGGCCTCTGGCGGCAGGTGCATACCGGGTTCGAGACCCAGCTGAGCCTGCAGCTGCAGGTGGGCCGCCTGCTCACGGTACTTGAGCGACTCGAGGCTGTGCGAGAGGATGTGCCGCGCCAGCTTGCTCTGGTGGAGGAACGAGGCACCGCAGTACATGCACGCAAACATCCGCTCATCCACACCCATCAACTCCTGCAACCAAACAAACAAGAACATCAACTTCTTGTCTTCCCTTTAAGCTCGTCCGTAACACCCCCACAATAATATCCTTCTCAATTTTCGCTCACGCTCTCGCTACTGACTCTTTCTCTCTCCCTTTTTCACCTCATTTCTCATTCTCTCTCTTGCTTTCGTGCTGTTTCTTCCTTTCTTTCTCACTTTCTCTCTCTCTCTCTCCTTCTCTTTATCATCTATCTAATTATCATCTATGTATCTATCTATCTATTTATCTATTTAGCTATTCATCTATCTTTGTTTGGCAAGTTTTCGCTTGGTATAGTAGTTTGAAGTGATCGTTTCAAGCAGAACAGAGATTTCTCTCCTTCCTTCTCTTTCTCCGTCACTTATGATACATGGATGCTATACGTATACGTTCTCGCTATTTCTGCTGCGACAAATCGCTCGTCTGGACGATACTCGACTCACAGCGTACACAGGAGATACACACACGTATATATGTATGTACAATATATATAAGTGTGTATATATTGTATATGCATATATGTATGCACGAGTCGCGACACACCGGGCTTCAATCGGTCCCACGACGCCGCTTTTCGTTCGGAAAACCGTGTATCTCTCACACTCTCTTTCTCTCTTCCTCTCGCCCTCTTTCGTTCTTTCTCTCTCTCTCTCTCTCTCTCTCTCTCTCTCTCTATTTCTTTTCTACGTCATTTTCTCTCTCTCTCTCTCTCTCTTCGTCGCTTCTTGCGTATCTGTCTTTACTTCCTCTTACTTGTTAACTACATCCATTTTCACGATTTCTCTCTCTATCTCTCTCCACTAAAAGACCGTTGACTAAGAAATCAGAGAAATAAAAAAAAAATAAATAAAGAACAGGCAAGGCTTGTCTTCTCGAGACCACTACTTTTTTGTAAAGAAGCGCGTTTTTGGCATGACCGAATGTTACGCGTGTAACGCGAGGTTCTCTCTCTGTCTTTCTTTCCTCCTCTATAATTATTCATATCATCGGCTCCTCTCGTTTCGGTGGAAAAAAGAAGTCCCTGGTCTGACGAGAAAATGATTTTCCTCTCGACGGCATGTAAGACGGTAGCACAAGAAGTTGACGCTCATTTTTGTTTGGCACGACGCGCACCCCAGATAGGTAAACATATGTATAATGACAAGGATTCTTTTTTTTGTTTGACTGTGTGTGTAAACAGCGTACAGGAACGCGTTTTATATATACACACACACGTATATACACGAGGATCTTTATACGTGTCTATATATATATACATATACTAGACGCGTGTATGTGTCGGTCTGGAATAAACGGGTGGCACATGTACGGGCCCACGACAACCCCCACAGCCTCGCTCAAGAACAACAACAACAACCCCCCCACCCCCTCGTCCCTCCTCCAATTTTTCATCTCTTTTTCGTTATTTTTTCTTATTTTTTTTTCTTTGGCAGTATTATAAATATCATATTTAGGCGACAAATCGCGGGCCAAGAAGGCCGCCGCGGCGGAAAATAGTACACCGTAGCAAAAGGCATTGCACTCAATCCAAAAAAACGACAAATTGAAATACAAATATTACAAAGTAACAAATGGTAAAAAAAAAAGTACACGTGTTGTAACGATATATATGATGTGTATATATATATAGTTACGTATTGATATATATATACATATATAAAAATGTAGTAAAAAACAACCATGGCCAAAAACGAAGGTCAACTTCTTGACAGTGAGCTAGCAAGACAGGCTGGCAGGATGGGACGAAAAAAAGGAGTGTATACGTGTGTTATATACGCCGGGCGATTTTCCTTCGATCGCTCGAATGGCCAAAGGAATACAGGAGAAGAGATATGGAGGAACCGAGGTTCGAAAGCGTGCCGTCACGGATCACGCATTTTCTGCGCGGTTCGCTTCAGCTACCACGAAACACCGGTAAAGGATCTGATTAGAGTTAATCGATGGAAAGATCATGAGGTTACGTAGTAGATCCTGCTTCGAGGACAGAGAAGAAAATTGGGGGCGGAAGAGAGAGAGAGAGAGAGAAATTGGAGAGAAACGGACAATTAATGGAAAACAGCGCGCGAGGAAATCAGACAGACAGATGCAAGAGAGAATAGCTATGAAGAGGAGGATCGAGAAGAAAGAGAGAGAGAAGGTGGAGAATGTCGCGTGTAGAATATTTAGAAGGGTCAAGAGGGAGCGAAAAAACAGAGGAAGAAAAGAGAGAGAGAGAGAGAGAGAGAGAGAGAGACAGACAGACAAACAAAAGGCAGGATGTATACACGGAGCATGGAAAAGTGACTTAGTTTTGGAAAAGAAGATAATACGTTCGTCAAAGAAGACGACATGCACGATTGATCTCCTTCTGCGTAGCGCGTCTCGACGAAGATCTTTTCTTTACGGGACGCTGAAGCTATAAAACGATCGGCAAGCGGCTAGGTTCAATTCGTATTTACGCTTGTTTCTTCTACATTTTTTTTTTCTTCTTCAATGCGTCCTATCGCGTCGTTTCGTACAAATTCTATATTACTATACTCGGTGAGAAAATTTCTTGTAGAAGATATTGTATGTAAACGAATCTCGAGTTAAAGAATTACGTTCTTTTTTTTCAATTTTCTGAAACACTCTTGTCGTGAACGTCGCTCACAAATTCGATCGAGATGCACACAGATCAAACGAACGGGTTAGTTTCATCCTCGGTGTACAGCAATACTTATAGAAAAGGGCGAAAATCCCAATTGTACTCGAAGGTGGTTGGGAATAATGAAACGGTTTTTTCTCTCTGTCATCGAACCTCCGATCACACTCTACTCACGGCTTAACGAATTATTCTGTTAATGACACGATCACTTTTAAAAAATTAGCGGGGAGAGCAGCAAACAGCAAAGCATTTGGGCACGCATGCAATAGACCCACATGCAAAGTGAACTCGAAATATAATGTTATGCCTGTCTATCTATCAGCGGGGGATAGATAGGCAAACAAAATAGATAGATATAAATAGATAGATAGATAGATAAAATGGATCGTGTTGAAATGTTGCTCGAGCTGTCGAACGACAAACGTCTTTCATCGACGATCTTACGGAACTCTTTTTTTGTCAACCGGCCGTCGTCAACGAGAGCAGCACGTAAACGAACGATTCGTCGTAATCTTCGATCGGCACGAGATGCATCGAGATCCAAACAAAAATTGCAGACTTTTCTATTTCTCTATCTTTAGTTTCTCTCGTTTTTTTTTTTTTTTTTTTTTTTGGCAACACTCGCAGCACACAGCTCATCCGCAATCCAAATGGTAATGCCGGTCGTGTGTAGGCGATTGCAGATGAGTCGAGCGCGACGCATAATCAATGATAACCGTAATCAATATATATATACATGTACATATATGTATGTGTACATGTATGTGTATATATATACATATACATATATACATATACATATGTGTTAAATACATATATATATATATATATGTAAATATAAATGCAGAGTAAAGAGAAAGTACGAGAATAAAAAGTAGTCAATAAATTGGAATATATAGTACGGAGAAAGAGGGAAACTCACCGGATCTGGTGGGAGTCTGTAGTCCGTGGATATTTCGCTGCTCGCACTACGCTCTTCGGTCGACCTTTCCCAGTCCATCTCTTTTTTTAACGACTGCAAACGAACATCGGATTCACGTCAAAGTAATAATTGGATAGCCGTCGATGCTATTGGAAAAGTATGAAGTTGCCCCGCGTGGACCGACGCACCCGAAATCATTAGCATTTACGTGTCACAAGGAAGCCAGAGCATAATGAACTTGGCAACGGTTCGAGGTGGACGGTAATATTGCGTAAACGACACCGAATGTTGTCGTTGCTTAAAAAAACTAACTTCAATGCAAGTTTTCCTGTGCTTCTCTGTGTCAAGGATATTCAACGGAATGTATATTTTTAACGATAAATCTGTATTCTGTGAGAAAGTGAGAAGAAGGGTTGTTTTCAATGAACTACCCTTGTTGCATAAAGAAAAAAAATACTAATGCAAATTAAGGATATACGTTGTATAAATAAATGAATATTTCAATTAATGTGTAATTCCAATTAAAATCGTATTTTCGTTGATTTTGTCTAGAATAAAAATAAAAATATAGCTAAGTAAAGCTAAGTCCAAGGAATAATCATCGTTCTATCTGAAATTTTGTCTACACCTTTCAAAATAGCAATTGTTAAAACCATAATAGATCAGTGCATAAATTATTTCGATTTTTCATCGTTAGTATATTTACTAATTTTTTATGTTGATCGAAGCATTTCCCGCCACTATCTTTTGAATCGATAAAGTTATCGACCTGTCTAAAATCGCATCTCGCACAAAGCGCCGATCTAAATAAACGACAATCAGAAGGATCTATATCTAGAAAATATAACGAATGTGAGAGAACTTTCCACCTGAGCTTCATTATCTATACATGGTCTAGCGTTATCGTCAGCAAGACAACTATGCAACGTTACATGACCATTATATCAACCACTGAGAAGCCAAAGTGACTAACTCCACCAAATTAAATTTATCAAATTTCTTCTATTCATGAAGAATTAAGCATCGAGCATGTGCTTTGATACCAAAATTAGAAAAATATCGCAAAGTAGTCTAAAGCTACATTTAAACAGATTAATTTATCAACTATATCTCTCTGCATTAACACGTTGACTAAGCATAATATTATATTATTATTTTTTTTTAAATTCAAAATAATATCTAGATAGCTATGACGTTCGAAACTTTTACTTGATGATATTCACTTTATTTTAATTATTCCAAAAATCTGAGGTACTCTGGTCACCGATGACCACCGTGACCCCATCGAGAAAACAATCTTCGGTCACAGGTGACCAACGTGGCATTGAACGTGTTAACTTTCACCGTATAAAAATAAAAAAAAACATTCTGCTCTAGAACCTAACCGAAACACAACTTATGCACAGACCCAACAATTACAATGTATAGAAGAATAAAAATTATACTCACAAGTGGAACTTGTTGGACTGGGGGTAACCCCGACGGGCCCGCGAGAGGTTCTGTACTGTGCGGGGACGGAAGCCGGCTCTGCGGTAAGTTCAACGGTAACACACCAGGCGTGCTTCCGGTATTGTTACTTAGACTCATATCCGACGGTCCACTGTGCACCGATATCGGACTAAGGGAACCCCTCGTTTCTTCTAGACTTGCCACATCTTCGGAGTCCCTCCTAGGTCGATCAAGTGCCAACGGTCCTGGACAAGGGCTACCGGGTCCTGTCGGCGATGGCGGACAATCCGTCATGTCTACCGCTTCGGTGGACTCGCTGGTGGGTGGTTGGACTACGTTCTGTTGGGGTTGTTGCTCGCATTCTTTAACCCCTCCTGATGACACACCCGTGCCACCAGATGTATTTCCTTCCCTATCTCTTTCCTTATTGCTTCCTTCCTTTATACTTTCGCGTTCACGGTGATGTTCTCGTAATGTCTCGCGTTGTATACCCTCGGATGTGCTCGTGTGTTGTTGTTGTTGTTGTTGCTGTGACTGCTGCTGCTGCGGTTGCTGCTGCTGCTGCTGTTGTTGCTGCTGTTGTTGCTCGTCCCTTGACGCTACTGCCGCGTTGATGTTCGTCATATCCGCTAGACCCTTTACCTTAAGGCTCTCCGCTGTCTTGAGGAGGGCCGATAGCTGGCAGTACTCAACGTTTACCTCGCCCTTATACATGAAGTCGACGAGGGTACGTAGCTCGGCGAAACGTACGTCCTTTAGGATGACTATGGGGTGGCGGTTCGGGTGGTCGAGGAATAGGGCCTGGAAGTAGCTGGAGCACGCGGAGAGGACTACCTTATGGGCACGTATCGAAGGTCCCTCCGTGCACGCCAGTGTCACGTCCACCAGCGACTCCGACTCCAGCAGTTGACTGAACACACCCAGCAAGTTGCTCTGATGATTGTTCCACCTCAGGCAGTAATGCTCACTTCCCATGTCTGAACTGCACCCCGCAACCCTGCTGCAGAAGAAACATTTGTACCGGTCCGTGTTACTCTTCCACTCTTGTCATTCATCTCGAACGTGTCTTTTTTTCTCTTTCTCTTTCTTTTTTTCCTCGTTTCTTTGTCTGTTGTGTGTTTCTTTTTTCATCTTTCATATGGTTTTCTTTTTTTTTTTGTTTTTCCCGTGTTCATTGTCGACCCTGCTGCTGCTCACTGTTTTGTTGTCGTTGAAGTTTCCGGGATTAGTTGTGCTCGAGTGACACCCGTGCGGTTTAATTCGCGACGCAAATTGCGAATCGTCAGAGAGAGGTGCTGATCTTGATCGGTTAGTGGATGTGTATGGGAGGAAAAGGGTTTGGACGATCGGTGAAGCTTGGGAAATTTTCGCGAGTTTGTGCTAGGGTTCTGCCGATCAACATCCATATATTCGATTTGTGTTTGGTATCGTTGTGATTAATTAGGAATTGAAAAGATTTTTGGTAGAAGTTCGCAGACGAAAATATATGCGTGATTTGTAAGAATAACGTTGATTGACCGGTTGAGAACTTGTGACAAGATTCTCAACATGGAACGCATCGTAGCAGAATTATGATCATTTCTTACATTCGACGTTTAATTAATCTATCTTCTTAATCATTGAGCTCAACTAAGTTTTAAGTATTATCAAACTTGGACGCAGAGTTTCTATATTGAAACCCAAAATAAACTTAAAATTGAAATAACTTTTAAACTAAGAGATTTAACCCTTTGGACACTGATCGTACAGGTACGGTTTTGCACAAAAATTTGCCTAAATAAAATATCATTCTGTGTCTCAAGATGCTCTAGGTAAACAAAAGAACTAACTCCGTAGTCTTCTTTTCATCTATCGAATTTCAGTACCCAAAGAGTTAATACCTAAGCAGCTTAACATTCCCCTGCAACCTGTGAAAAACTGTATTGCTTAAAGAACCCCGAAGTATAAAAACCCTACCAAAAAGAAAAGTACAGTTGCACTCTTCAAATGCAAAACAACGCACCGTTCAATACCACCTAACTTCGCTCCACGACATTTTCCCTTCGCTAATACATCATTCCCGTGAAACGCTATCTTCCATAATATAAATATACCACAAACAATCTATTCATCGTCCCATCAAACAACTTCCTAACGTTTCCCGCCAAAACGCTCGGGCACCGTTACTCGGCCAATCGGCAGCGAGTGCTTGTAAATCACGATTTTCTCGCGAGAACCGTGCGGAAAAAAGAAAACACGGACGTCTAAATTGGAATTCCTTGTCCGCGTCGGGGAAAAGCACGTGTACAGCGGGACCGTTGAGCGGCGCTATCGCAATTTCCTGCGGCATAAATCAGCGTCGCGCGGAAGCGCGAACGCAACGACGTTCCGTTCATTCGGCGCGGCGAGGAAACCGTCGTCGTCGCGATTTATTCGAACGACACGCGTTTCTTAACAAACCGCGCGCGCGGTCATCGTTTAATTCCGGCCACGAAACACGCGCGTCCAACGGGAGAGATGCATGACCCGATATCGACTGACGATACCGCGTGCTGCCGCTTATCTTTCATTATTCTTCGAGCCGACTCTCACGAGTCAACACCGTCCACCCCGGCTAGCTATTTTATTCGCCGACGCTTCTGAAACGCGCGTGAATGCGCCGTTTGCACGCACGTGTGTCGCGGCCATGTGCGCGCGCGTACTTACACGTATGTAATTATCCGCGCCACGAAAGTCAGAGCCCGGCGCGTCGTGGACGACGACGAAGGAGCGTGTTCGCGTGATGGTAGCCGCGGATAGGCGCGTGAACGCTCGATGGCGTGCGCTAGGGCAGAGCTGGCGATGCTCGCGTGATTCCTCCTCCTGGAACGGTGATAACGCGGCGTGCTCCGCGTGGATAATACCCGGGAAACGTTATCGTCATAATAATAATAAAGAGAAAATAATATTTTTACGCGAGCCAAATTACCGTGGGATTATTACCGGTCGTTATTCGCCCGTTTCACAATAATTTCAACCGCGACGTTTAGCTTTGGTACTCTTCTCTCGTCTCTCTGTTTGTCGTTGGGACAGGGAACGCATATACACATACACCGTATTATTTGGATAATGAAAGTTTTAATTGAACCAATTTATGAGGCTGCTCTCTCTCTCTTTCAGTATCGTTCAGATACACACCCTGGGAGGGGAAAAAAAAGAAGAATGCGACACGCGTGCCCAGCAGTTGCCACGATACTTGGCTATCTGGTTAGAGTTAAGTGATTTTCTTGCCCTGCTGCGCACCTGATTACTTTGCTAACAAGTGTAGACTCTGTACGGGAACATAGTGATTAAAAAATTTTAAAGGGGAAATGTTGTTCGCGTAAGGTACGGGATTCGATCAACCGGTTCGAATTATAGGAATTAAACAAATTAGTGTGGAGATATGGTAAGTAGTGCTCGAGATTTTTAGTAAATTATGTAAATATGTTATATTGTTCGTTAGGTAAATTAGGTTTCAATGTATGATTGCTTTTGGTCTAGTTAACTATAGAGGAAAGTCTGCTGCTTAATATAGACGTTTTCAGACACCATTTCCCTGGTACCATCTCATAGTGACCGAACTAGCTTTTGAACGAATGTAATATTATGTATATTTTTGTTTAAAATTAGTTTTGTATGAAAGATCAGAATAAATGAATTTTTTCATTTTATTCTTTTCATACTTAAAAAATTATTTTAATCGAAAAATGATCATCTACATACGTACGTCAAAATTCTAATTCAAGATATGAGAATGAAAATCAAGTAAAAATCGAATTGCTTATTTTATTAGAGAAACAGAAAACCCAATTATAACTTGGTCAAAAGTATTAGGCACCCCATGAAATATGAATCATTTAAAAATATTTTTGTATTAGGAGAAAATCAAAGTATTAAAATATCAAACTTTGTATTAATTTATTAATATGAAGATTTGATAGTCATAGCAATTTCTTTATTTTGTAATTTGCGTTGATGGTCACTCAGTTCCCTCTTTTTTGAAATATTTCAAGGAAAACTTTCTAACTTTCAAAATATTAACAGCAAAATTAAAAGCAAGCTGAGATGTGTTAGCAGCGAGTGCTCACAGCAGACTGTGACTTTCAGGAAAAAACAAACAAATATATATTCTGGATCGTTCACTTGTGTTATGGTCCACGATAGACATTGTCAATTATTTCAAACTTTCTTCGAATGCCAAAGGACAATAAACAATACCAAGATCTCGAAGAAATAATTTTCACAACAATAACAGAATGAATGAACAAACATCCCTAATTTTCACACTACTCAACCTGACAAAAGATAAAAATTCATAAACAATAAAAGAACCCCTTTCACGAATTTCCAAAACGAATTTCGTTAAATGAAAATTAATTTTCCCCCTCGGATCGTCAAATATAAAAATTACGCCTAACAATCTTCCCACTAGCCACTTAATTGCACAAAATAGCCCTCAAACAAACATCGAAGAGAATCGAGCGTTCATCCCGAATCGTGTCAAAAACCGTGAAGGAATATTCTTCGCGTGCTCCGGAAACTTCTTCACGTTTTAATTAGAGCTTGCGGGCTAAATTTGCGACCGTCCGGCGTCTACTTAGCAAACTTTACCCGCGTGAAGTTCGTCAGGAATGCTTACACGCGTGCTGAGCGTGTTGGAAAAAAAAAAAGAAAAGATGACGCCGCTAATTTGGGCGCGGCATCGACTACCGGTAGTGAAGATAAGTATCTTAGGTACCACAGAGAAGAAAGAAAAAAATGATTTCATTGAGTAGCACACGCGCGGCGAGGAGAATCATCCTCGTTTCCGATCCCTGTCTTCACACCGTCGTCGACATTCCTCGAGTGCCTCGGCTATCATAGTTATTATCCGGCTAAATATAGCAACAGAATGTAATTACATTGATCATTTTCATACTATATAACGTTGCACACCAACCACCGGAAACCTTCGAAGTTACGTCGAATTCGCGGCAACGGCGTCATTATCGACTGCTGTGTGATTATTTAATCGAGCCGCGTTGCATCTCCTCCGTGTTGAGCGACACGGGTGGAGGCGATCGTAAAATAGTTGAAAATTTTCACGAGTAATTTATGGATTTTCCCAGGTGAACGAAAACTATGCGAAACACCGTTTTCGAAATTTTGTTCGCCTATTCGTTATTTCAACTCCCCGGCCGTCCTGGTTGGTAAAGTTCGCTGTTAATTACGATGAATATGGATGAACTTCAGAGCAGCTTAATGTAATTCGCTTGTAATTACAATGGTTTCCATGTTTAGAAATAATCCATAATAAAGATAGTATTTTGTTGTAGTTTTTTTTTTAATATACATATGTATCGTCGGATCTAAGGTAAATAGAGTTAGAATTAAATTATCATTTTTAAATTTGAAATTGCTCATCCGGTGATTTAGTGGTTTCGTTTTTCTTATGTTTTTTTTCTTTTAGCGGCGGAAGTATCTTCTTTCGAACGATGAATTCAATCATGTTTATAAGTATGTATGTATATTTTTTTAACTGAATATTAAAAGAGACGAAAGGAGAGTGTTTTTATATCCGTGCAACTGGGAACTTTAGCTGGAACGTTGTTGTGGCTATAGATATAAAAGGCAGGTTCGTAAAGTTTGTCACCAGAAGGTTCACCTTTGTTAAACACACTTAGCAATTGAAGCAACCGTACATACTCATTGGTAAGAACTTGGCGAACTTTAAATTGCAACTGTCTCGTAATAGTACCTACAGTTCATAATATTCGTATGAAAAGTTTCCATCTATATGCAAATACTGTTTAGGGTGAACTTATGTGATTCTATGCCAATGTCGAGAATGCTGTTATTCGTGTTTTTCTTCGTTAACCGCTATAAGTTTACACTTGTGTGTATGATATAACAAATTTTTTTTAACGCTTACATCTTGTGCAATGTACCTTACGTAACAGGGGAATGAAGTACTTGTTTATTTTAAACGTGAAATTTTC